TTCTAAAAGAGAAACTGACAAGATAATTATAAATATAGGGCACCTGAGTGGCATAGTCAGTTAAGCATCAAGCTTGAGGTTTTGGCTCAAGTTGTGGTCTCAAGGTCATGAGATGTAGCCCTGGATCTGGCTCTGTGCTCAGCTAAGAGTCTGCTTCAGATTATTTCTCCTCTCCCTCTGCCCCTCCTGTTCATGCTCTCTCTCTCTCTAAAATAATAAATCTTTAGAAAAAGATCATTCTAAATATATATATATATATAAACAAAAATGAGAATAACCAAGATAATCTTTAAAGAAGAAACAAAAAGCTGGAGAACTTGAATATCCAGACTTCAGGACTTACTATAAGTTAATAAATAGTGATTAAGATGAGGTAGTGTTGTCACTAAGACAAACTAAAGAATTTGTGGGAAAGAATAAAGAGACCAGAAATAGAACCACATATATACAGATGTTTGATTTTCAATGAAGACATCAATCAAGATCAGTACAGAAAGGAAGGATCTTATAAATGATGTGGAAACAATTGCATATCAAATGAAAAACTATAAATCTTGATCTCTACCTCACACAACACCAAAAATTAATTTGAGATGGACATTCACATGTAAGCTTAAAAATGATAAATGATAAAGCTTCTAAATAAAAACATGAAAAAACAGGGCACCTGGGTGGCTCAGTGGGTTAAGTGTCTATCTTCAGCTCAGGTCATGATCTCAGGGTCCTGGGATCCAGCCCTGAGCCCTGTGTTGGGCTCCCTGCTCAGTGAGGAGTTTGCTTCTCCCTCTCCCTCTGCCCCTTCTCCCACTTCCCCTATGGTCTCTCTCTCTCTTAAATAAATAAAATCTTTTAAAAAAAACAAATACTTGAAAATATCTTCAATAACTTGAAAAAGGCAAAAAGTTCTTAGATGCCAAAAGCATTCATTATGAAAGAAAAATTGATAAATAGTTATTTTATACAAATTAGTAATTTCTACTTATCAAAAGATACTGTTAGGTGACAAGATATGACAAGTCATAGTCTAAGAAAATATGTACAATATAATATCTAACAAAAGATTCATATCTAGAATATATTTTAAAAATCAGTAATAAAAATCAGACAACCCAACTTAAAAATGGGCAAAATACCTGAACAAGCACAGCATTTCACCAAAAAAATAGCACCTAAATGACCAATAAGCATAAGAAAACATTCTCAAAATCATTATTCATGTATGAAATACAAATTAAAATCACAATAATATATCACAATATACCCATCAGAATGATGAGAGGGTAGAAAAGACAATTCCAAGTGCTGTCAAAGATGTAGAGTAACTGGAAATCTCACACACTGCTAGTGGAAATGAAAATGTTATAACTACTTTAGAAAAACAGCAATTTCTAATCAAGAAAAACATCATTTACCCCATGACAATTCTATTAAGTTTATACAGATGAGAAATGAATACATACATTCACAAAAGAATGCTCATTGAGGTACAAAAACTATAAATAACAGAAATGTCTATTAAGACAAGAATGGATAAATAAATTGTAATATTACAATGGGACTACCTTCCATGTGTGGAAGAGCACACAGAAGTGAAAAGAAACTCATTGGACTGCAACAACATGGATATATTTTCAAAAAAATTATGTTGAGTAAAAGAAGACAGCCACTAAAAAGTACAACTTTAGAATTTTACATGACTTTCAAGAATAGACAAAACTAGTCCATGGAGGTAGAAGTAAGAATAAATGTTACCCTCAGAGGGGAGGTGGGATACTACTGAGTGGAGAGGGGACATGAGGTAACTTTCTGGAGAGATGGAAATGTTTTAGATCTTAATCTAGGTGATGACATTAGTATATAAATATGTAAAAAAAAAAGTCTTTGACCTGTACACTTGAGATGTCGGCATTTTGTAATGTGGAAATCACACCTCAATAAACACTGAAAAAATTAAAATATTGAAAAAGCTTTTTTCTCATTAGGCAGAACCTCCTACTCCACTATCACAGAACCAGAAAAACTTCAATATCCTACCATGTCCTGTTTGGAGAAGTATTATCCTCCCATATTTCCCTATTGGGAACTACCAAGTAATTCATTAATTCGATTGCTATTTATGCAGCATTCACTATGTCCTCTTAGAGCAGAATTGGATTTGTTCTTCTGTGGGAAGAACTAACTACTTCATCCCTAGAGTACACTTGCCCCAGTGATTGGCTCAGGGCAGACAGTCTGGGCTCCTGAGTGGCCCCGGATGAGAGCCAACTCCTAATTATACACACAAACTTCTGGTTCAACTGGAAATTCAGGGGCAGGCGCCTCACATACCAACCGGTGAGTGAGTGCAGACATGGGAGCTCCTTGCCTCCATTTAATCCCTTGTCCTTTGTCTCATGAGCATGCTAGACAAAACATGTGATGGGGGATTAAAAGAGGGGGCTAATCTTGACAAACAGAAGGTTGCCAAACCACCTTCAAAGGACTTGAGATAACTCAACAAGAATTTTTTCTTCCCTGAGGAGTACCAAGGAACTGATGGCATCTAGGGTGGTTGTCTAGTTGAGGGTGGAGTCAGAGCCAGTATTGTAGATAAAGAGAGGGAGGTTAGTAAGACAGGTTTTCCAACCACATGGGAATATGAGGTGGAGAAGTGGCTTGGTTTCTTTCCAGAGTCAGTGCCAGCTGAATGTATTTAGTACCAAGGTCTTCAGGGAAATTCTCCTAAATATCTTCCAAGTTTCTATTCTTTGAAACAGAATTAGACCAGGATTTGTTGCTAAAGGCACAATTAGCATTTCACTGGTGTTCATCAAGAATTGTACTCATTTTTTTTTCTAAATGAGCCAACAACCAAGGTTTTTTTGAAGAAGTACAAGCTTCAATGTAGAAAACCAATGTTATGTATAAAACATGAGTGACTCCCATACTATTGTTCTTTGTTCACTGCCTCATTATCCTCAACTTCTAAGGATGCAGATATCTTCTCTTACCTTAAATATTTATAGCCTTACACCAGAAATACCAATGACTTTTAAAACATTATGTATTTGTGGCATTTTTATAATAACGCACTTTGCTGTTTAAGGCTTCTAGGAGCAAACACTCATACACACAATTGTTTTTGGTCAGCTTATAATACAAACTGTTAAAAGTATGCACATAGAATACCCTAGAGTTAGTAAAAATATGAGATTAAATAAATACATATCAATTTTAAATTAACATTGATTCCTTTAAAATAATATCTAGGAATATACTTATTCCAACAAAAACTGCCCATCCCTCCTCTCTCTAAAATAAATAAATAAATATATTTTTTTAAGTCTGGTAAGCAATGGCAGCATTATAGAAATATGTGACAAATATCCCAGGTTATTCTTTAAGGGAGACAATAGTCTTTTTTTTTTTTACAATAGTCATTTTTGATAAGACCTTTTGTGAAATTTTTTAAAAAGGAGAGAAACCCACCCAATCTCATTCCAGTGCTATCATTCCTCTACTGATGAGGACATAATACATTTAAACTATGTATCTCACCATCACTATATGAATGAAACTTTTTAGATTTTTAAAATAAAATTTAAAAAACTTTCCTGTTAATAAATTAATCAAAGAGTTCACAGAAACACAGAAGAGTATAAAGAAAATATAATCACCTATTATCCCACCACTGAGAGATTAATAATTTTAAAGGTGAGTTTTATATATTACCTTAAAAGGGATTAGGATGAAGCTGAGATGGACCAGTTGTTTAGAAATAACATTAAGGAAAATTTGTGTTTATCTTATAAAAACTAAACAGTAGGAGAGAAAAATCAAGTTATAACATTGTCTCTAAAGTCAGTCCTCAAGTAATCAATGCCAAATATATAAGAGCCTTTGGTGTTAGAGATTCTTAGCCTATCATCTGAAAAAGTAGTGCCTTTTCCACTCAGAAAGCTGTGTCTCACAGAATCGAACAAGCCAAGGGGTATTTATCTTTCCAAGCAAATTTGGCTCAGTAAGATGGAACAGGAGGTACTATTAGCTTTTTCAATACAATTGGAGCCACTGAAATCTTTTATCCATTAGCTATGGTCAAATCCAAACAATCCTGTCAATATCTGGACTCCAGAAACAAAGGGCTGTATTCTTCCCAAGGGCCTGAACTTTACGTATGAGGACCAAGGTAAGGAAAAAGGCATTCTTGACAAAGTCCTAAAGTATAAACATAAGTTTACTACCAATTATTGTAATTGTGAGCCAACAAAGATATATGGCACCTGAATTCCTCCATTTACATTTCTAGATTCCATATAAAACCACTTGAATGAGCATTTCCTCTTTCCCATCTTCCTGTATTTCTTTGGTCAGGCTGATGTCCCTCATCTGTGTCTCAGCCACTAAGCTGAGTGTTGACTCCATGAATCTGGAGCAAAGTGGGAACTAGTCTGGGCTGGAGAGGCAGACCACAGTGAAGGCTGAAGTAATAGGACTAAATCACATCTCCAAAGAAGAGTATGTAAAGTAAGAAAAAGGAAAGACCACAACAGAGACCTGAGGAATCCTTAAAGTTTGGCAAGACATGGTGACTGACAAAAAGTAGGGGACAAGGAACAGGGGCATGTACAATGGTATCTGTATTTTTTTTTTAATGAAAATAAGCTTTATTACATCAAGTAATAAATACATACAAAAATGCAAACAGTTTTAGTCATTTTCTTCCAGATGTTTGGATCAAGTTACAGGAAAAGCAGAACTGAAATACACACAGTCTTAGTAGGAAAATTTTGGTGGGGGAGGAGGAGTTCTTGTTAGGTTAAGTTTGGTAGGTTGCTCTTTCTTCTGTATTTATAACTTGTGCATTTTTTAAATTGACCTCAAAGCACTAATAGTCATGCAAGCAAATGCTTAATTAAGCTCAAAATAAGTTACATTAAGCAGAATCCACACCACGTGGCAAACGTATGCACTCAAAACCCTCAGAGTTGTATTAGCTTATGAAAGATAATGTAAAACAATCTGAGTAACTTAAGTGTACTCCAAAAAGAGGATGAAAGGAGCTGGGATATCTGCTGTGAGATAGGGATCTTTTACGTGCATCTTTTAAATCAATGCTTAAAAAAAAGAAAACAAAAAAAATAAATAAAAATGCTTAAAAAAATAAAAATAAAAATAAAAACAAAAAACCCTGGGTAATTCCTATTTAAAATGTAAATCCTAGTCAACTGCAAAGTATTTCTCAATCTCAGAGCCTCATGAACCACGGGAGGGACACGGGAAGGAGAAACCAAACTGTTACCATTTTGAAAGCAAGAGTTTCATCTGAACATGGGAGATGAGCTATAACTTCTGGTCTTGGAAGAAGATGGAAAACCTTCCACGCTGATAGGCAGCGAGGACCTGGCATTCCGTTCCGTCTCACCCAAGCACTCTCGAACCAGTCCTCTGGCGTGAATGATGCCTCGTTTTAGTCTCTCCATGGCGCTCTTGCTCCCTGCATAGGTGGGTCTAATCTCTTTCCCCAGCTCTTCAATGATGGCCAGCAGCTCAGCATATTTGCTTTGGGGTACCTGGCTGTTCCCAGTTCCCTGGGTATAACGTAGAGATGGTGGCCCGCAGTCACCCAGCAGCTGGCGGTACTGGGAGGATGTGGCCATACTGGTGGAGGGCGGGTGGACGCTCCCAGCGGCGCTGAGGGAGGCGGCGGGCATGTGCGCGGCCAAGTTCGGTTTGTAAGACATCCCCGCGAGCGGCGGGGCGCGCAGGGGCGCCGGGGCCAGGCCCGCGGGGGGCGGCGGCGAGGCGGCCCCGGCGTCCGTGCGCCCGTCCGTGCGCCCGTCCGTGCTCCCGCGCACTTTTTGTTGTTGACGGCTCCGGCCGCACCGGCAAATATGGCCGTCCCTCACCCTGACACCCGCTGCAGTATATCACCCATACATCGGGCGGGCGGGCGCAGGGGCCGGTATCTGTATTTTGAATGCATACTATATCATTATCTGTTATAAAGATCTCCTTTATATTGAATATCTCAACAGCAAGAACTTTGTCTTATTTATCTTTGAATCTTCTTTAGCATCCAGCAGATGCTTAACTCATGTCTACAGAAGAGAGAATAGGGGGAGGAAAGGGTAGAAGTAGAAAAGAAGGAAAAAATGGAAGAGATGTAGTGAAACTAGGAAGATAGGAAGGAGAAAACCAGCCAAAGAGATAATATTTCCACAAAGATTCCCTGTCTATCCTGCTGTTATAAACTTAGAATTGTGGTGACCAAGTCAGGCTCCGAACCAAAAGAAATAGAGCAAGAAGCTTAGATATAGACCATTTCAATGCATATACAGCAGAATTTACTGCTGAGGAAACTCTAGGCTAACTCTAGGGAATCAGCCTCCAGAACACAGATGAGGATCCCTGCTCCCGCTCAGAGTACACAGTGCTTTTACACGTACACAGAAAAATAATGGTAACTTTAGTAAAGTCAAGGCCTCTGAAGTGAAGGTATCTTCACTGGTTCTTAAGTATGCTGAAAGAAGAAGCAGTAGAATATATATCTTGGGAACCCAGTTGGCTCAATACTAAAAAGAAGGCACAAAGAACTTAATAGCAGCCAGATAAATATGTGTTTATAATTTTTCATTTACAGTGACTTGCAGGAGGTCACAAGACTATGAGGTGGCAAAGGGAGGGCAGAATGGTGGCTGGTTCAGAAGGCATTCATACTACCCTGCTGATGGATTCCCCACAAGGACAGCAAATGATAGTTCCTCAAATGGCTATAGTCTGCATCATCTAAAAACTCCTACTTATTTTCTTCCAACCAAAGTTAATCTCCATTTGACTTTGTAGGTCCTTGAAGCTAATAAATTATAGAACTACTTGCCCAGAAAAATATTTTTTATGGAAAGAATCTATTGTAATCTAGAGGAAACACTCATTGTCTGAATTCCAACAAACCTGTTCATGATATGTTTGAGTTCTCACACTCTGCTCAAAACCAAGAGACATGCCATGAATAAAAACAGTTTATGGCCCATGATCCAAGACACACACTGTACTGCAAATTCAGTACTCTAACTGGAAGGTGGGGTGAGGACAGGAAAGTTCACAAAAATCTTTTTATCTGGCCATACTTGAAACTCTTTGTTTAGTCTGAAGAAATCCAAATGATACAGTTCTTAAGATTCTGTATTTTTTCACTTTGGCTTTGTTTGTGTATGCTGCATGCACCAAAAAATTATCAAAGTACAGAACTCATTTCTAGAGCAACTTAAAGTTAGCCCACACCAAACAATGAATTAAAAGAATGTGTTGGTTTTCTATAGTTTCTTCTGAGTACAACATTAATCTCCTGGGCACTTATAGGAATTTCCTTAGCAATTCAGTCAGGTAACACTTGCCCCCATTTTCCAAATGAAAAACTATTTTGAAAAATGGCATAACATAGCCTGTTCGTTTTTATGGAGTTCTCATTGCCTATCCAATTTTCCCCTCCACTTATCTTCCTGTCACTCCTCTCCAAGAGAGGCATGCAACACCAACCATTTATTTACAGCATTCATACATATACATACACACAAGCATAGATACCCACTGTGTTACTACACTTTCTTATTTTCTATATTCTTAATACTCTGGCATTTGAGGTATTGATCTTAGAAAGACTACCCCTCCCAGGGCTAATTCCTGGAGATGACACTTTACTTCCCTGGGAGTGAGCCTTTAACAAAACCAACCAATCTAGAACCCATAACTCCCAACCATCTCCTTTATCAAATTCTCAAATATCAAGCCAATAATCCCTTTGCCTTTAATTACCCCAGGGCCAGGTACCAGCCAACTAGGAACCACCCCTATAACCCTGAGCTCACCAAATTATACAAATTATTCAATCCTAAACTTAGTGTACCTTCTCTGTCTCACCCATTTCTTCCCACAAAAATCCCAGTAAAGTCTCTGAGCCATACTCTGCCCTCCACCTCTCTGCCTCCTGATTAATCCTGTTGTTTCCCTATATTGCCCTGCATGGCCTGATATGCTATGCCTTGTGTTCCTAGGGATCTGTGAGTATAAAATTCTTCCTCTATAACAATCATTTCTGGGTCTGTGTGTCTTACCACATCTGATAAAGAACAAATTGGGGGTACATTTTTAACTTATCCACCTTCTGAGAAAACTCAATAACCTAAGTGCTTTAAAATTCACTCACTTTTACTAGGTCACCTAAAAATAGAGGGACAAGGATGAGAAATTCTAGTTCAAGCCTCTAATAGGTAGGGAAGAAAGCATCCTCTAATCTCATTCTATCTAACTGCAAATGAGAGTCCTTACTTTAAGTGCTAAGCCTATGAACACAATCGTATGTTTATGAATCTGTTTATTAATGTGTATATACATATGTGCTGTGAGCTTCCCAAGGCCAAACATAATAAGTCACACTTTTTTGCTTCTCCTAGCACAGGGAAGGATCACATTGTGTAAATAGTATTTTTTAGTGATTAATACATGGCCACTGAAGTTACAGTATGGATCAAATTGTGGATCTGTCACTTATTACCTTAAGTAAGAAGTTAACCTCATGGCTTAATTTCCTTAACTATAAAATGGATAAAATGATATGGTATACGTCATACAATTAAATGAATAATATATGTAATAAACTTAGCAAAATTCCTAGAATATAGAAAGCCTTTGATAGAGACACCTGAGTGGCTCAGTCAGTTAAGCATCTGACTCCCGATTTTGGCTCAGGTAGTGAGATCGAGGCCTTTGTCAGGGTCTGTGCTGGGTGTGGAGCTTAAGATTCCCACTCTCGGGGATCCCTGGGTGGCTCAGCGGTTTGGCACCTGCCTTTGGCCCAGGGCGAGATCCTGGAGTTCCGGGATCGAGTCCCACGTCGGGCTCCCAACATGGAGCCTGCTTCTCCCTCCTCCTGTGTCTCTGCCTCTCTCTCTCTCTCTCTCTCTCTCTCTCTCTCTCTATGTCTATAATAAAGAAAGAAAGAAAGAAAGAAAGAAAGAAAGAAAGAAAGAAAGAAAGAAAAGAAAGAAAGATTCCCACTCTCCCTAGTCCTCTGCCCCTCCCCCACTGCTTGCACATGCAAGCTCTAACAAAACCATAAAAATTAAAAAATAAACAAAGAAATCCTTTGATATATATTTTCTAATATAATTATTGTGGTCCTTTAGAGTCACAAGTTACACAGCATTTAAGACAAAGTCAAATCTTACTATAGTAAGATACTATATAATGTTTATACCTACTCATCAGTTTAATTAGGAAAAATAAAATAAGAAGAGTATTCATTAAGCATCTTCTGTAAGCCCAACACTGACCTAGACTCTTTGCTTTATTTATTTCATCTAATCCTCACACAAACACTACGAAGTAACATCGTATCTGCTTTACAAATGAGGTGACTAAAGCTCAGAGAGACCAATCTCTTCATGATAACCCAATTTTTAAGTAGCAGAGTCTGGATTTGAATAAAAACCTATCTAATGGGATCCCTGGGCAAGGCAGGGGAGGGTTAGTCCAGGTTAGTCCTGGAGTCCCGGGATTGAGTCCCTTGTCAGGCTCCCTGCATGGAGCCTGCTTCTCTCTCTGCCTGTGTCTCTGCCTCTCTCTGTGTGTGTCTCTCATGAATAAATAAATGAAATCTTTAAAAAAAAAAAAAAAACTAACTCCCAAGCCCACTGGTCCTTGTTGCCTTCCAAGTAGAACTGTAATCCAACATCCTGGGAAAGTTCAATTATTATAGGAGTTCCTGGGAATTGGCAGAGAGCAGAGATAATATAGTGATGTGCTTCTTAGCAGAGAAAATATCCAGGGTTGCCCCTGTAAACAAAAAACATGGAGTAGAGATACAAGCACTGAGAGGAAATATGAAAAGACAGAAGCAGATGAAGTAAGAATTGGAAGAATTTAGAAAAGAAGTGGAAAAAACATATAACGTCACAAAAATGAAGTTTACATTAAATTCAGCATAAGGAGAGTAAACACTGACACAGATACAGTAAATCACATGAAGGATGTGGTTAGAAAAGTGAGGGGGGAAAATGGAAGTAAAGAAATGGTTTAAGAAGATGAAAAATATGGAAGAAACTAAGTAAGAAAACACGAGTGAAAGTGACATCCCTGAAGAAGAAAACCCAAATAATGGAATAGTAAAATATTTCAAGATACAATTCAAACTAACATCTATGCACTATCTCAGGTAGCATCCTCCCAGGACAGGTTAATTCTTGCAGGGGAGCTCTGCCATTGTCTATAGAGTTAGATCAAATCAAGCTCTTCTTCAAATTCAGCTCTATCAGCCAATCCCAGGAGTGCAACGTTTTGAATAATAAAATTGAGTCCTCATGTATAAAAGCTATACATTTTTTTCCAAAAAGAAAGAAAGATTGATCTACAAATTAAAATGAAAAGATAGGGCAGCCTGGGTGGCTCAGTGGTTTAGCGCCACCTTCGGCCCAGGGCCTGATCCCGGCTGGGATCAAGTCCCACATCGGGCTCCCTGCATGGGGCCTGCTTCTCCCTCTGCCTGTGTCTCTGCCTCTCTCTGTGTGTGTCTCTCATGAATAAATAAATAAAATCTTTAAATAAATAAATAAAGAAATAAATAAATAATAAAATTAAAAGATATGTCTCATCTCTAGGAAAAAATATCAGAACAATTGCTCAACTTCAAAGATGAAAAAGAATCCTTTTAGTAGTCCCCTCCCCCCGCCAAAAAAATATCAAGTAACTTCTAGAGGATGAAAAAAAAAATCAGTGCTAGAAAACACTAAAGCAATGCCAACAAAGTCCTCAAGAAAATAAAGTATGATCCAAGAATTTTATTATCCACCAAGAGAAGTGTAAAAACTATAGTTAAATACTTCTGAAAATGCAAGAGTTCACTGGCTAGTTTTTCACTTTGGAAACTACTAGTAACAAAGTATTACATAACCAAAAGAACTGAAAGGCTTCATTAAAAGAACTGTTAGTTATATTGTGTATTTCATCCAGTTAACCAAAGGAGAATAACTAGAACAAATATGGGTATTTATTTACACACAAAAAATGGTAAATGCAAAGATAAATCCTGGGAATGTATATATGATATAATTTATAACATTTTTAAGGTAAAAAAGAAGGAAGATGTGTGGTGACTTCAGTACAACTGTGTTTGGTCCTTGTACAGTCAGAATTAAAGACCCCAAATATGAATTCAAGAGGAGGACCCTGGAAGCCAGAACACAAGGGGAAAGTTGTACATAACTTTCTCAGAAGGCTCAGTGATAACAAGAAAACTGTGGTTGGAGGGTCTCAATGAGGGAATTCTATGGAATTTTCAATAATGTCCCAGGGAAGTGTCAGTATTTGGACATCTGCTGTCTTAGGTTGGGTTACTGAGAAGCAGACCTTAAAATGAGGGTCCATGTGCAAGTAAGTGATTTATTAAGGAAGTATCCTCAGAGAATCTAGTAAGAGGGTGAGGGGGATAGGATAAGGAAAGAGAAGAAGCCAAGGGAGAATGAGAATTTCAGCATCATTTCAGCCTCATGCTGATCTTGAAGGGAACTGTGGAGCATAAATCGTATCTCAAGAGTTTGTCCTCTTTTGTGGCAAGGGAGTCAGGCTTTTGTTCTCCTGTTGCAGTCACTGGCTATGAGGGAAAGAAGGAAGACATAAACTTCCAGACTACCAGGCACACTTAGATCTCTACACTTATAGGTAAAGAGCCTGCAGTAGCCCAAGGACTCCCTCTAAAGAAAGTAGCAGAGGCAACCCCCCCAGCCTGCCAATCCTGGAAGAGCCAGAGAAATATGGTGAGTGTAGAGGAGCAGCTGAAGAGCAAGGCTGGGAAAATGTGGGAAGGCAGGCTATGCCCCAAAGCACATGTGAGCCAGAGCCACGTCCCAGCTAGCTAAGAGAAGATATTTCCAATGGGAGGGAAGAATGATATTTTAATTCTATATTAATTCATACTTTTTAAATGAAAGTGAGACTATTAATACTTGGAAATGACAAGAAAAACTAAGGGATATACTAGAGAATTCCTCCATGGATAAGCAAGAAAACAACAGAGTAAATTTCAAGAGTTGGTGATGAGCAGAAATAAAGTTACTTGTTCATACCCTCCAATTTCAACTCATTCGACCAACTGCTTACACATATGTACTATGTACTTCATAAATTTGCTTATATTCACATAGATTAGATCTAGAAAAACACACAACAAATCAGTAACAGCAGTTGCCCCTGGGGAAGCAAACCAGGTGACTTTGAGGCAGTCAATAATTTATTTAAAAAATAAAACCATCTGGGGATCTCTGGGTGCTCAGCGGTTTAGCATCTGCCTTCGGCCCGGGGTGTGATCCTGGAGACCTAGGGTTGAGTCCCGCGTTGGGCTCCCTGCATGGAGCCTGCTCCTCTCACTGCCTGTGTCTCTGCCTCTCTCTATCTCTGTGTTTCTAATGAATGAATAAAATCTTAAATAAATAAATAAATAAATAAATAAATAAATAAATAAAACCATTTAAATTCAAAATCTTTTAAATAATAAGGAAAATAAAGTAAACAAAATCAAATAGGAAAGTAAGCTGGAGCCAGGTATGTTAGGTTGCAAAATGAATAGCACAGAGTCTCATCAACTTGCTATGAGGGCAAATTTGGCTCTAAGTTCTTGGCTAGCAGTATGAAGAAAGGAATATCACGATTCCTGGCATCCATCAGAGGAAAAAAAAAAACATTTATTTGGAAAAACATTGTTTTCAATCAAGATTAGAATTAAATTTCTCCTATGGGTCCTCTCTTTCGGTTCCTATAAAGGAGTCAACATTTTCACTCACCTCATTATTATAAACAGGGGCAAACATCACAGAGTCCCAATCTTATGATGTTAGTTATCTTTAGTAATAAGAACTAAAGGTGATATGAGCCAGGGATCATTACTGGCTTCATAGGTGAAATAATGAAATCACAGCAATTATTAGGCTTTAGTAAGAGAGATGGAAAGAAAATTAAGGGGTCTTCAGCACTGAATCATTAGGCTGCTGCTTGAAATTCACTTAATCTTCTGAGTCAGATGCAATCAAATATGTACCAAGGATTACATTTCTCAAGTGTTCATCTCCAGAAAATATTTGAGCTTTGAGTCCTATGCACTACACAATAAAAGAATAGTATTCTTGCACAGAACATTGACGTAAATATCCTCACTACAACCCAAAGTAAATGGGAATTGACTACCACTACACATCTATGGATAAAATTACAAAAACTGACCATACCAAGTGTTGGCAAGGGTGTGGAAGAACTGGAACTCTCAAACACTGCTGGTGAGATTATAAGATGATGCAATCACTTCAGAAAACAGTTTGACAGTTTCTTTAAAAAATTATACATTCACCTACCATATGATCTAGCCATTCTATTCCTAAGTATTTACCCAAGAGAAAAGGGAAACTATGTCCATACAAGACTTACACAAAAATAGTAGCAGCTTTATTCATAATAACCAAAAAATAGGAGCAACCCAAACATCAAATCAACAGTTGAATGGATAAATAATGGAAGAGCCATACCATGGAGTACTAATCAACAATAAAAAGAAAGGAACAATTAATACATGTAATATCGATGGTTGAGTGGGTCTTATGGGCTGGGCGCTTTACACTGTTTCATTTTCACCTCATAAGCTAAGCACTACTCAGGACCTCATAAGCTAAGCACTACTCTATAGAGTTGAGAAAACTGAAGCTTAGGGAAGTAAGCAACTTGTCTGGCCTAATACAGCTGGACACAGACCAAGTCAGTCTGACACAGAGTACTTCACACACATTTTACTCAGCAAAGAGTGCTTTGAGTTCCTTCAACCCATCAACCTCTTCAAGGTGAAGCTGTACCATCCAGGAGATGACCTCCAAAAATGAGAAGGGGTTCAGAGTTTGTGAGGAGAGGGTAACTGTGAAGGAGGAAGAGACTTTTTCTCTTTACAGATAATGCCCCAGAGGACTCACCCTTTCTTATCACTGAGCTCCGAATCCTCAGGTCTTAATCTTGATGTATCAGATCTGGGGACCCATTGGAGTCCTCCCCAGAGAGGCTGCCCTTCTGTCTCAAGACACAGGTCCATACAAGCAGCAGCTCCACCTGGGCACCTATTACTGAAGCAAGCTGCAATTTGATATTCTTTTACTGTTTATTTATGCCTTAATTACAGGGTGGGGGAAAGAGCACCTAAAGTTTGCCAAAAACTTCGGTGATTTTTTTTTTTTTAAGTTCCTTCCTTTCTTTCCAGTTGTTCAACTCTGTTGGGAAAGGCAAAAGGAATGCTTTCAGAACTGAGCTTGCTGCTGAGTTGCCAGGTTTAGAGATCTCTGTAAAGATCATTGTTTTCTGTAAAGGTCATTGTCTTTTCATGAAAACCCCGGCAAAGCATGCCAATGCAGGAAAACTACCAGCTTGCCAAATGTCCAGTGTCCCAGTCACCTGCTCTTCCTGCCGTAGGAAGGATGTGGATGATCTCTGGAGTAAAGACATCGGGTTGGTTTTGTTCCTTTCTTGCTCTTAAATCAGCTGCAGAATGCATGAACAAAGCACACACAGTACAATTCTCAGAGCCCTGTGCAGCCTCCTCGTTAAACACCAGCAGCTGCTGGGTGTTGCATAGACCAAGATAAGCAATATGACATTTGTGGCCATTCTACACTGCATCCTGAGTGTAGATCATTGTGCTCTCAATGGGATTTCTGGGGTTTCAAGCCTTGAAGAATACCCCACCAGTGAAAATGCAGAGCCAGGGTAAGCTCTGAGCAGGGGGTCCTGGGTGGGGTGGGGGTGTACAGCAGGAGTGGCAGGCAGAATCAAGAAACCCAATCACGAGTTACTTGCTCTTTGGAAAAGCAGCTCTGTTAACAAGAGAATTAGGGCAGGATGATTTTGGCAAGCTTCATGTTATGTTAGCTGCACAAAGTTTTCCTTTCCTCTCATGCAGCCTCTTAATAATTGGGTGGGAGCTTCTTTTCACATTTGACAAAGAGGCGATTCCAGTCAGATGTTTTTCAGAGGGGTTCCACCTTAGGTTTGCCAAACACACACAATTCCAGATGCAACTCGGAGTCTATTGAGTTTGAGAAGATTCAAGTTTGCAGCTTCCTTGCCATTGGCAGGGTTTTTCACTCTTCTCACAGTTTTTTCACATTACTTCAAGGGGATCTTACCCTTATCTCCATACCAGGTCTTCATGAAAAATATAAGGGAGTGGAGAAAAGACTCAGAGAGTTACCAGAGGCAGTGGGCATCTAGCTGGAAGCTGGCACACCATATAAGAGTCTCCTAATTGGAGACATTCCCCACATTGGGTGACTCTAATTTACCTCTCTATAGGCAGATATTAATTTTCATACCCATGGTGGGGCTTGATAGAGGAAATTACTTCAACTACTTCCCTTCCATCTTCCTGCCTATTCCAATAGCCTCTTTGTCTCCTTCCCTTCCTCCTACAGCCCCGCCTCAACTACCCATCAGCAACAAATATAAATATAGCTCTCAGTGGTGTTCCTGCATCTAAAAGACAGGTCTCCATAAACAGTCTTCACAGACCCCATTCCAACCCCTGCACCCAGGCCACTACCCTGAGAAAGTTCTCATCACCATCTGAGGGCGAGGGCCAAGATGGGTACCTTTAAATATTATAGGGCTATTGTGGAGAAGATGCTCCCATACTGATCATGTAAAAAAAAGAACAAGAAAAAAAAATGAAAAAAAAATCTTCTCCAAAGGAAATATCTCAAGAGAAAGTTTGTTTAAAAGGTGACTAAACATATAAAAACTTCCATTTACTACAGATTATTTAAATATATGTATACATATCCTTTCCTCCATCCCATTCATTCATTCATTTAATTTATACCCATTTAGAGCATATTACATGCCAATTTTAGGCACTGGAGATTCAGCAGAAAAGAAACTAAATTCCCTGCCCTGGGATATGAATAAAAAGTAAGTAAGGAGGGGGACAGAAAGTGATGGAGACTGGGAATGATGTTTTGGATAGGCAGTCAGGCAGGCCCTCACTGAGAAGGTGACAGCTGAGCAGAGACCTCAAGGAAGTGAGACATGAGCCATAAAAATATCTGAGAAAACACTCTAGGCAGAGGGGAAAGCAAGTGCAAATTCCTGGGGTGGGAGTAAGCTTGGTACATTCAAGGAACAGCAAGGAAGTCATTGTGGCTGGAGTAGAAGAAAAAAGAAGAGAGGAATAGGAAACAAAATCAGAGATGAGGGAACCATGAGTAGGCTCAGAATCAAAGGTAGGCTCAGAATGAGATGGGCAAAGTCTGGCAAGTTCTGAGCAGGGGAGAGATGCCATCTAAATAATAGTCTAAAAAGATCTGTTTGGCTGCTGAGTGGTAAGAGATTGGGTGGGCAGGGACAGAAACAGGGAGCTCAGTTCAGAGGTAACTGCAGTAATCCATGCAACAGGTGATGGTGCTGGGCCAAGGTGGTTACAGTGGAGATAGGAGGAGAGGAGAGTTTTTGGATATAATGAGAAGACAACGCTACAGGAATTGCTGATGCTCTTGGTACTGAAACATTAGAAATGGGAGCCTCTTGAATTCTGGTGCTTAGGCAAGGGGCAAAGGCTTCATTTACTGAGCACCTGCTATGTGCCAGGTGTATCCTTAGGTACTCTCACAGAAACTTCCTCCTTAGAAGTCTACAGTAGATTTAATTATTTCCATTTCACAGATGAGTAAAGGGATAGAAATATGAGCCGTGTCTGCCAGAACCCAGAGCCCATCACCCTGAGTCCCTTATAGAGGGAGAGCCCCTGGGGGTATGCAGAGCCGAAGGCTTGGTCAGTGTCCATGAGCTCAGCAGCACTGGACACCAGAGTTAAGGAGAACTGACATCCTCCCTGGCTGTTGCAGCTTCTCATCAGAACTCCAGGGTGCAGCTGCAAGTCCAGAGTCTGACCCAGCCTTGAGCTTCCCAAAGGAGAGCCAGGATGCAATTGCTAGGGCTGCAGTTGCCAGAGGAAGGAAGGCCTACTGGGTAAAGGCAGGGGATCTTCCAAGCTCAAGACTAACCTTCCTGTGCAGACAGGGAGGGCACTACTGGCTGCTGGCAGCAGTCCCTGTAGGCAAAGCTGCCTGAAATTCAGACTTTCCACATTTCAGTTTCCACACCCCAAAACTTCAGCTAGCCATCCTGGGAGGAGCCCAGAGGTTGCTGTCTGAAAGCCAGCAAGGGCTGTTTAGAGGAAATGGGCCCACTCAACCCGAATGCACCTGCACTGGGCGTAGTGTATTTCTCCTCTGGTTGCCAGAGCGACAAAAACAACAGTGACTACTGAAACCCCCTTAACACCACAACTCAGGCTGACCCTGATCAACGGAAGCCAACTCTGCATCCTGGTCTCTTCCCTCTTCTCCCACCCACCTACATGTATCTGCTCTGATATCAAGAACTTACTCAATCCTTGCACTGAGCTGAAACTGTTCTCAAAGCTTGATCAGCTGTGCTCTTCCTGACATGCTTGGGTTTCTCTGATCCCCAGACCCCAGAGAGAGGGTGGAAGCCTGGATCCAGAACACAGATCAGAATGTCTGTCTGAGGGAGGACTCCCTGAAAGCTCCTCTTTGGAATTGCTGCACAGGCTACTTTATTCCAAACCCAAACAGAATGTGCAATCTCCCTAGGTGTGGCCATGACTGTAGACTCCAAAGCCTGTGGCCCTACACATGGCTAGGTCCAGCCATTTTCGAGGGAATTAGTATCCTCATCCCATACAAGGAAGTTCTTACTTTCAGAAGACATGTTATTTATGGTAATTTATGATACCAACCTATTGCTAATGAAAGTGCCTGGGGAATGGACAAGTTGCCCTGCCTGTTAATTCACAAATGGGCATCAAGAGCCACAGACATACATCTGAAGCAAAGTATACAGCCCAGGGTCAAAACCATAGTTACAGTGTGCTTAACTGGTTCACGTTTCCTCTCTCAGGCTGCAACAGAGCATCTCACGCTGCACCACGAGAGTGGATATCAGGGTCCTTCCCTCCATTCTGTTAGGATCCACCACAGGAATTATCCTGAGGGTAAGGGAAAGGGATCTCTATGCTATTTCTTTAATTGTCTCTGAAATTCCACAAGTTAGATATAGTGTTTCCTGTACATTACAAAAGAAAAAAAAATCAAAGTTCAGAGAGATTAAGTGACTTGCCTCAGATCACAAACCAAGCAAACAGCAGGACCAAGACTTAAATTCAGATTTCTTCTTAAAAAAAAAAAAAAAAAGAAAAAGAAAAAAGGGGATCCCTGGGTGGCGCAGCAGTTTAGCGCCTGTCTTTGGCCCAGGGCACGATCCTGGAGACCAGGGATCAAGTCCCACATCGGGATCCCTGCATGGAGCCTGCTTCTCCCTCTGCCTATGTCTCTGCTTCTCTCTCTCTCTCTCTATCATGAATAAATAAATAAAATCTTAAAAAAAATAAAAAATAAATTCAGATTTCCTATTCCACACTATACTCCAGTGGTTTATTGACGGGCTAAAATAAGGAGCTCCATTTCTTGATCATCCTACACAATAAACCACAGCATATATGCCAAGCCGTACCTTTTAAATTCCCTTTTTCAGCTCTTTATATAATGTCCTCTGTCCTTTAAAAGGCACTTCAATGAGTGACAAAATGAAAGAGGGCTCTTACTGAAAATCAGCTTTCAGTTTCCATTCTTGCAAATTTTTGCAGACCATCTCTTACGTACAGAACACTTTGGCATTACAATGCCATGATTCATAGCTCCTCTACTCATCAAACTTGGAATGGGGCTGGGAAGATAAGACATGAACCCAAATAACTACCATTCCAAGCAGATTTGGTTTGGACCCCAAGAGAATGATGCCCTGTAGGGTGCTGAGAGGTCCAAGGGATGAGACATCACTTCTGTTTAACATAATCAAGAAAGGATTCCTGGAGGGGTGACTTTGAAGCTGAGCTTTAACTGTCACATGGAATTTTCATAGAGATTGAGGATTTTGACTTTTTTAAACATCCAATTGCACATTATATTCAAATTTTTGCCCGCTACCCCCAAAATTTTGATATAAATAATAATAAT